TGTTTGCCTAGAAAACTGAAGAGAAACAAATGGAAAGTTGTGACACAAAATTAGAAGTCTGTTGGTAGCCTTCCTACAATACTGACTATTATGAAATACTGTGTTCCAGCGGCATCATGGAGAAGATCAAATACCTATCTGAGCAATTCTCATGAGGATTCCCTGAATCGGTGAATGATGTAGCACTATTCTGCAGCATTCAAAGATGGGACTCCTCAGCCATGCCTAGTGCTGTGGGCCTGCCCTCTCAGCCACTCAGGAGACTGAGGCAGAAAGATCCCAAGTTCAAGGCCTGCTTGGGCCATAGAGTGGGTCAGTAAAACTCTGTCTTAAAAGCTAAGGGGGTGGGGGGAAGACTGAGGATGTATTTCACTGGCAGAGCACTTGTCCATCATGCTTTGTTAGCAAGCCCCTGGTTATGTCTGGCCCTCAAAAAAAAAGATGTGATGTGAATTGTCTCTCACTTTAAAATACAGATAAGGTGACAGCCAGGTGACTCAATGGGTAAGGACACTTGCCACCGGCTCTGATGACCTAACTTCAATCCCACGAATACACATGATGGAGCTAACTTCAATCCCACGAATACACATGATGAAGGAAGATACCCAACTCCAATAGGCTGCCCTCTGACCTCCACAAGCACAAACAAATGTAAAAAAAAATTTTTTTTTCAATTAATGTATAGGTAGGTGTTTTGCTTGTGTGATGGCTGTTGGTTGTCAACTTAAAAACCCAAGCAGCAGGCACACCTGGAAGGGATTTTTACTTAACTGCATCATTTGAGGTAGGAAGACTCATCTTCAATCCAGATCATTTGAGGTGGGAAGACCCATCCTAAATCTGGAACCTTTTGCTTTTTGCAAGCTTGCCCTCATTCTCACTAGCAAGTTCGTCTGTCCTGCTGCTAGGGCATTCCTTCACTATTTCTTCAGGATTCTAACATACAGTGAAGACCAGCTGAGACCCCCAGCCTCAGACTGAATTACTGGATTCCTGAACTTTGTGTCAGGAAACAGCCATTGATGGACTAGTTAGACTACTGTAAGCTACTCTAATACATCCATATGTATAGAATCAGTTCTCCTCCTCTACAGCCTAGAGAGAAGCCTGGCCAAGACAGGCTGCATGTGTGGCTGTGCACCAAGTCTGTGCCCAGGGCCTGTAGAAGTCAGAAGTGGGTATGGGGTCCACTGGAAGCGGAGTTCTAGACAGTTGTGAGCTATCATGTGGGTGCTGAGAACAGAGCCCAGGTCTCCCGTAGGAACAGCCAGTCTTCTTAACTAGTGAGCAATCCCTCCACCCAGATTTATTTTTGTATGGCTTTCCAGCATGTATGCATCTGCATCCTGTGTATTCTGTGCCCACAGGGGCCAGAAGAGGGCATCAATCCTCTGGAGTTGGAGTTAAAGATAGTTATGAGCCACCATGCAGACACTGGATACCAAACCTTAGTCACTGAGCCATCTCCAGCCCCCTAATACTTTTTTAAATTCCCAATGTTTTATTCTACTAAATTAGGTAAGATTCACTCTTTTAGAAAAGGATTAGTGTTGAATGGCCTTTTGTTGTTGGGGGTTTGTTTTGTTTTGTATGTGAAAGAATGAAGTGGGGAAGGTTTTATGTAGCCTAGGCTGGCTTCAAGTTTCTCTTGTAGCTGAGGATGACTTTGAACTCTATTGATTCCCCAGGGTCCAAGGAGGCTTTGCTTTGTCTGGCGTGGGATATAAGGGGAAAAAAAAATTTACGTACACTATGTTCTTATGTCTGTTAACTTTATTCCTCTAAGACAAAATTACATCAATTCAGCTATAGCTCCACCAGGCATTCAAGGCAGGAACAACTCTAGACATACCAAGCTCTATATCCGTCTACTCTATTTCTCTGGGATGAAATCCTGTCCCCATAACTGCAGTTCCGTCCAGCTCCCTAGCTCATAGTCCAGCTAACGACTAACTCCTATGCTTTCAGCCTCATCTTCGTCCTCTGTATCCTCTTTCTCTATCTCTGCTACTCTCTACTCCTGGCACTCAGAAAACTCGCCCGATGATCTGCTTACCCTCTATGGAACCTCCACCATCCTCTCTACTTTCTCACCTTGCCTTTCTTTCCCTGGGCAGGAGGTTCCCTGCCTCCTCAGGAATGTTGTTTTATCTCTCACCTTGATATGTAAAAACCTCTTTTGTTCTCAGTCAAAATGCTCTGGAGAACCACTAGGCCTCCTCAAGGCCAGGGAATGGTCTAAGCTTCATTAGCACAGGAAACAAAGCTATGTGTCTCCTGCCAGCTTGTCTCCTAAGCTCAGCAGGGCAGTTAGTAACTTAGTAGGTTCAGCAGGTCTGGGAAGCTGAACTCTTTACCAATTGGTCTGGTCATGCATGGATTTCATAGCAGAAGACAGCTGGAATATTAAAGGCTGGGTAACACCAAATATTCATAATAAATGGCTTTGCCTTTGACAGACCCTTGGCAGGTCAAAGTTCAGCTTTAATACACAGCTGAATCTCTTTTTTATTTTTATTTTTTTAGTTTTTTTTAAGACAGGGTTTCTCTGTGGTGTTTTGGTGCCTGTCCTGGAACTCGCTTTGTAGACCAGGCTAGCCTCGAACTCATAGAGATCCGCCTGTCTCTGACTCCCAAGTGCTGGGATTAAAGGCGTACGCCACCACCGCCCGGCCATAGTAGGATTCTTACTTGTAAGTTCTTTATACATATGCCTTATGTTTTTAACCTACACCAAAGATTTAAAAAATAAACCTGGAAGGGCCAGAGAGATGCTCAGTGGTTAAGAGCACTCCTGCTCTTGCAGAAGATCTGGATTTGGTTCACAGCACCCATATCAAGTGTGTCACAACCTACAGTTCCAGTTCCAGAAGATCCAACACCCTTTCCTGGCCCCAGAGGGCACCTGCACACTCGTATACATCAATTCACCCAGGCACACACATAAATCTTTAAGAACGGTGGGGGAGCCAGGCCGTGGTAGCTCACACCTTTAATCCCAGCACTTGGCAGAGGCAGGCAGATCTCTTGTGAGGTCAAGGCCAGTCTGATCTACAGAGTGAGTTCCAGGACAGGCACCAAAGCTACACAGAGAAAAAACAAAACAAAAAACGGGTGCTGGAGAGGTAGTGAATGGTTGAGAGCACTTGTTCTTGCAGAGAACCTGGATTCAGTTCCCGGCACCCCATGACAGCTCACAACCACCCATAAGTCTAGGCAATCCAGTGCCCTCTTCTGACTTGTGGGGACACCAGGCACACATGTGGTGCACATGTAGACATGCAGGCAAAACACTCATTTTTTTTTTAAATGGAACAAATTTGTTTAAAGGATGTAAAATCTCTACCCATCAGGAAAACAGACCAACAGTGCATGGGGTGAGTGAGTTTTGCACCCAGACGAGAGAGGAAGGTGCAGTGGTCACACTGACTCATACAGAGATGATGCTGCTGGTGGAAGTCCAGCTGGTGATGGAGAGGGGACAGGTTGAGGGGCGTAGGGAGGTACTGGTCACACTAGGGACTGTGGACTTGTACTGCTGTGAGTGAGTCTAAGAAGGGCATGAAGTCAGTGAAGGGTGAGCAAGGGCCCAGTGCTGGAGAATGTCCAGAGGATGTGGCTACTGGCAACCACACTGTCCACATGAGAGCAGAGAGCTGAGAATGGGTTGGGCTGCCTAACACTCCCACAAGATGAAGAAGCCGCTGTACCAAGGTGCCTGTCCTGTGGACTGGAATTTCTGGGTGAGAGTCAATGAAAGACCAGAGGTCTGGAGGTGGTCACGATGTGGAGAGATGACTCACATCCATTGATATGTGCCTTACAGAGGCAGGGGCACACCGGAGCGTGGGAAGGGCCTAGATGAAACGTGAACCTAATTAGTCTTAACAATAAAACCTGGAGTCAGATATTGAGGGTGAAAGCTGAAAGATCAGAGAAGCAGAGCAGCAGCCACTAGAGACTTCTTACCTCTATGAAATCTCAGACTGAACAGGGCATCCTGTCTCTACTAATCCTCAGACTGAGAGGGTGTGTGTGTTTGTGTGTGGGGGCGGTGATCCTGTCTCCACCCTCCTATATTCCTGTCTTTACCTCCCTAGTGCTGGGATTAAAGGCATGAGATCCCAAATGCTGGGATCAAAGGCGTGATCCTCGCCACTGCTGGGATTAAAGGTGTATACCACCACTGCCGGCTCTGTTTCTCTTATAGACTGGTTCAATCTCATGTAGCTCAGGGTAGCCTTGAACTCCTGATCTTCCTGCTTCCTCCACCCAAGTGCTGGGATTAAAAGTGTGTGCCTGGGGCTGGAGAGATGGCTCAGAAGTTAAGAGCACTGACTGTTCTTCCAGGGTCCTGAGTTCAATTCCCAGCAACCACATGGTGGCTCACAACCATCTGTAATGAGATTTGGCGCCCTCTTCTGTATACTTAATAAATAAATAAATCTAAAAAAAAAAAGTGTGTGCCTGGCCTGTGTGGTTAACTAGTGGCTAGCTCCACCCTCTGATCTCCAGGCAAGCTTTATTTGTCAGAACACAAAAAATACCATACAACACCTAGGGCTGCAATGTATGAAGGAAAGGCCTCCATCCTATTTCCAGGATCAGGATGGAAGGGACCCCAAGAACTTGTGGGACAGGCTGTCCCCTCTACAGACCTATGGGTAAAGGGGGACAGCATTGTCAGGAGCTGTGCTCCAGAGAGAAGTGCCTGGTTGCAAGGACCATACTTGGAAAGAAACAAGAGACCTGTGTCTGGCCTCTAGAACAGGCCAGGAAGCTCAACTGTGAGAGAAGAGAGTGATTTATCAGGAGCATCTGACCTCACAAGCATGAACTCAGGTTGGTGGGAAGAGCTGGGCGGGGTGGGGGTCGGGGGGCTGGCACTGGAGGTCCAGGGCAAAGGCCTGGTGTGCTAGACTCTCATGTGCACGTGACTGCTGGGCAGCCTTCCCTGCCATCTCCCCACATCTGCCCTTCTACTTCACTGCCCTTACATTTGCCAGAGGATCTGTGACCTCCATGGTGTCCTGTCCGCATTTCTGGGTTCATGTTGGTAGCCTCCAAGTCAGATGGCTCTTTCTTGCTTTTCTGGAAGGCACATGAATGGTGCCCCTGTGGAGGGCACCTTAGCGACCCAAAATAGGCAACGGACTTTGCCACTCCTTGGGTCTCCTGCTCAGGAGAACAGAACTTACGTTCTACATGCTTTGGGTGCATCCTCTGGCCTGCACACTGTGATACCTCAGTAAAACCCCCCACTCTATCCCCTACAGACAAAGAGAAGTTTAAACCAGGATTCCTAAGTGTAGATAAGAACTTAGACCCCTTTTCCCCAGGTGGCTGTATCTGCTACAGGGACTTTGGAAAACGGGATATTCGACCAAAAGACTAAAAAGGGAGGCAGGTTAAGATAAATTATATGGTCTGTGCCTTTAAGAACTAGCCTTACAAAGAAAGGGGAGCACTCCTTCCAACCTCCCTGCTGTGAGTGAGAGATTTGGAAGAGCCTCGCTGGAGGCTTGTAAACTTAGAAAACACCTTACTTTTGCATTCTGTACCTAAAGTCTCCAGTGGCAGCTTTGGGGACACTATCTAGGCACAACAAGACCCTCACTCTATTGTCTCAAAAAGGGGGCCTTAGACAAAGATATCTCAATATAGATAGACCCAGGCCAGTTTCAAGTCCCCAGAAATGATGGCGCCAGCCCCAGGAACAAAAGAACAGAGTCAGGATGTCTGATGGTAACCAATTAACCACGAGATGCCCCTCTCCAGAGATAACATGACCTGACCCCAGAGAGGAGTTGTAAAACTCCTGACAAGGCAAACAGACAAACTAGAATAAGATAAAGTCCAGGCCCGGGAAAAACTGGACCAATCAAGGATGGACCCGTACTAACCCCCTCCCCTCTAAGAAATTTTATGGGTTTTGCCTATAAAAACTAACTTCCCCAAGAAAGAGTAACTCTTCTCTGCCTCACTTGAGATGAGTTCCCTGTCATGACTTGTAACAGATAAACCTTGCTTTTGCATTCTGGTATGCTCATCTTTGGTGGTCTCTCTGGGGGTTACGATCTGGGCACAACACACACCACTTTAGGTGGTGTTCTTCAAGCACTGTCCACCTTTTTTTTTTTTTTTTTTGGAGGAGAGTGGGGAGGAGTCAAGATCTCACTGGCCTGGAGCTCACCAGGTGCTCTGGGCTGACCGGCCAATGAGTTCCAAGGCTCTGCCACCCCTTCTTCCCCCATGCTGTAATAATAAGCCATGTGATGTCATACTGGCTTCCCTTTTCATGCTTCTGTGGATCAAACTCAAATTCTTGTGCCTACATGACAAGCCCTTAACTCTCGCTGCCTGGGGGACCAGCCTCCAGTAGTGCAGGGCTCAGAAGGAGGCCATGGAGTCTATGACTTTTCTATCTGAGGGGGTAAGGGAAAAAGACACATTCTCTTGATGGTTTCCTTCAGACCTTTTCTTTATTCTTCTTTTGCATTCTCTATTCTTTATTTTCCTGGTGATTTCCTTCTCTCATTCTTGATGTTCTCCTTCTAACTCTATCTTTATTCTTGATGTTTTCCTTCTAGTCCCTTCTAAGTCTCTCATTCTTGATGTTTTCCTTCTAAATCATTTTAACTCTCATTCTTTTTTTTTTTTTTCTTTCTTTTTTGGGTTTTTTGAGACAGGGTTTCTCTGTGTCATTTTGGTGTCTGTCTGGGATCTCACTTTGTAGACCAGGCTGGGCTTGAACTCTCAGAGATTCACCTGCCTCTGCCTCCCGAGTGCTGGGATTAAAGACGTGCGCCGCCACTGTGGGGCCAACTCTCTCATTCTTAATGTCTTCCTTCTAACTCCCATTTTGATGTTTTTCTTCTAGCCCATTTAAAATCTATCTGTATTCTTTTTCTTACAGCTTACATACCCAGAAAAATCTTTCAGTTAATATAGAAATTACAATGTGGTTACATTCTGTTTTTCAATGAATTTAAAAAAAAAAAAAACACGGTAAAAAACAGCATGTTTTCCATACTTCTTACATCATTAAGCATTCTATGTATTACAGGTGGAAAAACAAATTATCCCAAGAACCCAGGTACATTCATACCCAAGCAGCTTGTTATAGATTAACCATGTGGGCAAGCAAGGTATTCTTCTCAGCCAGGTCTTTTACTGGCAGGCTGCATTTGCACTTACAAAGAAAGGGCCAGTTACTTTATTGCTTATCTTGAACGTTAATCTTAGAAGGAATCACAAACCTAAGCTTTTATATATGAAAAAGAATCAGTCAGCTCTTGTAGCATAAATTCTAATTGGCCATAATAATAAAAACCCAGAGTCAGATATCAGGGTAAATTCTGAAAGATCAGAGAAGTAAAGGAGACAGCCACTAGAGAGACCTTTTACCTCTACCAAATCCTTAGACTAAAGTGGACACAATTCTGTCTCCACGAATCCTCAGACTGAATGCAATGAGCCCCTGTCTCCTCCCACCTTATAGTCCTCTCTCTGCCCTGCCATCTCCCTTCCTGTCTCCACCTCCCGAGTGCTGGTATCAAAGGTGTGAGCCACCACTGCCTGGCCTCTAGGCTACTAGTGGTTTAGCTCCATCCTCTGATCTTTATTTGTTAACAAATAGAGCAAGCTTTATTTGTTAGAGCACAAACAAAATATCACCACAAGCTCTACTTTAAATCTTTAGGGTACATATATCAGGAGATAGAGGGCAAAAATGGGTATAAGGAATTAATCATCACCTTTGATTATCAACCAACCCTGGCAAGGAAAGTGTATCAGCTAGTAACAATTGGGCTGCTTTGTATTTTACCTCAGCTATGTGTCCTTGTGAACTTTAGATTGTTTTCTAGGAGTTTTCATCTCAAAGCTATCATCAAAACAGCTAGGTTGGAGAGATGGATCAGTGGTTAAGAGCACTGGCTGTTCTTCCAGAGGTCCTGAGTTCAATATCCAGCAACCACACGGTGACTCCCAACCATCTGTAAAAGATCTGGCGCCCTCTTCTGGCCTGCAGGCATACATGCAGACAGAGCACAGTATACATAATAAATAAATAAATCTTTAAAAAAAAAATCTGATCTAACCTGAAGTTATTTTAAGGCTTTGTTTCAACTATGATGCACACTGAACCTGTGACTGTGTCTTTCAGTGTTAAGAGAATTTATGCCAGCCTGGCTCCTGAGGACTCAATTGTTTTTCTTAACCATTAACCTGAATTGTAGTCTATGCAGCTCCACAGGTGAAACTTATAGGCCCTAGCTGGGTGATATTCCCTTGTATTTATTTTTATTCATCAAAACTCTGTATAAACTAACATTTTCATTATCAATTAGACAGTACAGCTTAAGAAGGAATCATCTTTATAATAATCCACAGGTAAAAATACCCAGTAGAATGGGATGTTTCCATGAGATAAACACACTACATTACAGGCAATGGGGATCTCCCCACACCCATTCATACCATGACAGATACCAGAGAAAGATGGTAGCAGCAAATATGTAATGGTACAACAGAAGCAAAAGACATTCTGAGGTCTGTGGTCTTTTCTCTCTGAGATTCACCCATCAGGAATTTTCCTCCTAGTGGGCTGACACCCTGAAGTCAACTGCCATCTGCTGCTCTCCTGACATGGCCACTAGCACTTAACTAAGCAATCTTACCACCACCTTACAAACACTTTAAATATATTAAGCATGCTCTGTAACAATCCAGACACCCCTGCTCCAGAGCCTGGGGCTTTATCTAGTACTTCTACCCAAGCATTAGCCCATTGGGGGGGGAGGCTCATTTCTGCCCCAAATCCTAGCTGTTCCTTGAATGCTTAAAGATAATCTCTCCACCCGTCCTGGCTCTGCTTGTAGCCCTGAGCCACCTGGATTGTTACCAAGAAATGGGGCTAAGAAAAGTGCCCTTTTCTAAGTTAGGACTCAGAAAGGCAGGCGGGCCCCTTGGTGCCACTGAGACATATGTTCTGCTAGTGCTGCAGGAGAGGCAAGAGGCATTTCTAAGAAGGATAAGGACATTGTCACTTTAAGGGGATAATTATTCCTCCCATTTTTGTAGTGTGCCCACTGGTGAATCAATCCACTTTGGGGATATTTGGGAAGGTTAGACTCCTGGCCTGATGATCCACTGGCCCTTCACCCAAAGCCAGACCCTAAAATCATGTAGGGGATGGCTGAATTGGGGACTAGATATAACCCATTTCCACCATGAAAAGCCAGAGATCTAGTTCCAAAACTGTTCACCAGAGGGGATCAGTTAGTTAGTTAGTTATCATGTATATAGTGTTTTGCCTGCATGTATGCTGCACACCAGAAGAAGGCACCAGATCTCACTACAGATGGTCGTGAACTACCATGTGGTTGCTGGGAATTGAACTCAGGACCTCTGGAAGAGAAGCCAGTGCTCTTAAACACTGAGCCATCTCTCCAGCCCCCAGAAGTCACTCTTATTTTTTTTCCTAGACAGGGTTTCTCTGTGTAGCTTTGCGCCTTTCCTGGAACTCACTTGGTAGCCCAGGCTGGCCTCAAACTCACAGAGATCCACCTGGCTCTGCCTCCCGAGTGCTAGGATTAAAAGCATGCGCCACCACCGCCCGGCTAGAAGTCACTTTTAATGTAGATTCTTAACAAATGTATATGTGTGATGCCCAGTGGAACAAATGACATTAGAAGAGAGAGAATACAGAAGAATATGGAGGAGCAGGAAGAACCCACAAAGAAGGAAGTTTTAAAGGACAAGTGGGAAGTGTGGTGAACTGGAAAGAACCTGGACAATAACTCAAGTTAGACTTTATTGTCTACTGAAGGGTAGATTCAGCAAGTGTAGCAGGGGTCTAAGACCAAGACCAGGAGTTTCTTCGGGATGATGAAGCAGAGCAAGAGATGACATAATCCAGAGACAGCAAGGAAGATGACCAGGACATAGGCCTGGAAAGACAGAGTGGTCACGTTCTAGAGAAAACAGGAGTGAAGGGATGCTCAGCTGTGCCGTGCACGTGTAGTTTGGAGTCTGGCTGTGACATGTGCCTCAGACAGTAGCTCAGTTCAGCAAAGCCAGTCATTTGGAAGAGATGCTGAGGACTCGAAGCGGTGTTCCAGGGACACAGTAATGAAGGCTAAGTGCAAACTACATCAGGAAGGCACTGGGCTGTGGACACCTGCTCAGGAGTCAGAAGAGACAAGGGTCCACAATGGCCAACCACTGTGATTTTGAAGTCAAAAGACTTCTGGCTTAGCTGGGCT